CTGTCGCGAACTCATTCCGATCTGGCCCGTTGGTCATCCAGCCACATGTGACATACCACACACACACACGATCGATAACTATTCAGTTCGTTTCTGTACGCGTACATGAACTGTGAAGTCCGCGTCATGCATGCCAATCGTTATTGACATATGATGATGATGATCATCATCATCATCAACACGAACAGAGTTCGTGACCGCTCTCATATATCCAACAATGGGGACGGAAAATGGACAGCCAGTTAGCATTGGAATACTTGTACCAGTGTACATGTACACACACACACACACACACACAAATCTATCAAACCTCAGATCAATGAATGCTTTTCAACACGCGTTTTGTTTACCACAAGCAGGACTTCCAGTGCACAAGTGTTATAGTGCTGCGTTCCAACATGACATTCATTGGGACGGGGGACGCTTGTGTGTGCGTGTTTCTGTGATAATATGCCTGATTTCCATCATAACTGTTGCTTGTGGCTGAATTAATTCGCAATCCTCGATTGTTTATTTTGATAAGAAAAATTTGAAACATGATTCTTACTTTTATTTTACTACGGCTGGCTCCTTAAAAAGGATAAGCCAGCTCCATTACATGGAGTTACTTGGGAGTTTAGTACGAGAGATGTCCCCAGCGTCACTCGGCGATTTTTTCATTTTGAGGGCGCATCTCTAGTTTTTGCACAACCAAGCGCGCAAACGGCAAGGCAGCAGGAAGTGATCCCTCGCTTCTCGGAAGGCCAATCACAAGGACCTTTGTCCGGACACCGTCATTGGGCTTATGCGGCTCCTGTTCAAACAGCAGCCGGATGACCAGTTTGAAACCCACCACCACACCCTGGTAATAGTGCCCCCGCTGTTTGTTCGCGATTGCTCATTTGTTGCTCTATGCCACACAACTTATTCACAGCTAATCTCTTCTTCGGTGGAGTAGATATCTCCCTCCTATCCACAACCCCGCGAGGCGACGGACCTGGTGGCATTCACCTCTGATTAACCTCCGAGGGTATCCAGGTTCATGATTCTCTCTATCTCGCCGCATATTAGTCTCCAAATCTGGTCAGAACGAAATCAACACGTCAGCCTCATACCCCAACCCTACCTCTCCCTCCCGATTGCGTAATCCAGACAGAGCCGGGGCCAAACAAATTGCGATTCGCGCCGCGTGCTTTATTTAGGTACCCAACTGTACGACGAACCATGCACGGTTCAATTGGACGACTTAGTTGTGGTCCGTCTGTCGATTGGATAAGTTCTGACGCTAAAACTCAGACAAGTCACTTGTTAG